ATATGTGTAAAAATGGCTCATATTCCTTATATAGGTAGCTCAAATGTCACACCCAATGGTCTAGGCTCGTACACAAGGGCTCCTCCAATGATTACACAGTGAGACAACTTTTAATGAGTTGGAAATATATTTTTTTCGGATTTGAGAGGGTTCGATCGATCGAACCTGTGCTGTGATCGATCGCACATGGCTGAGATTTATTAAACTTTGGCTGGCTCAATCCTCCGATGGCGGCGCCTTTTTGGATAAGGACAGATCTGAGATATTTTGGGGAATAAGACAAAAGTGGTAGGTAGGGTGGTACAACAGGATAAGATGGAATCTTTTTGATTGATCTGAGAATTGTTGGATTGATCTAACTTTGCAGGATCTTTACATAAGGACAAAAGAGCTTGGATCCATCTTGGGGAGTCTAGATCGATGAACTTTCGATCGATCGAAGTATCCTTGTGATCGATCGAACCTGCTGAATTTTCACACTTTGCTTCAATCTGTTTCCACTTTGCTCCTTTCTTCCATCCAGCTTGAGTTAGCTTCTTTTAAGTTCTTATTTGGCCGAATTTGCTTATTTTGGGGATAAGCACCTAAAAAGGGCAATAACACGAAATTAGTCTATAATGAAAAAGTAAGATAATAAAGGTTCTATAATACCTAAGCTTAAGGGGTTTAAATGCGCACTTTTCAGCGCTCATCAACGCGCAAAACACCTAGATAGAGAACAAGTCTCACGATGAACGACGTCCTTGCCAAGACTAGAACAAATGGAAAGGGTAATGAACCCCGCTCTCACAAGAGAATGACAACTCACACCTGAATGCACCCGACACCCTGTCGCATGTTACTCACTAATTGTCCAACCATGGACACCTAATCTCACCTGAGATGAAATGAACTTTTTACACACAAGGAGAAGAACCAACTGGAAACACATACGAGACTACGAACGTAATTCTAGGTGACCTCGCCACTTAAGGACCGTCAAACACAAACATGGAACCTCACACATGCTACATCGCGATACTCATGCCAACCAAAACCAACCAGATAAGAGCACTAATGCTCATGACACTTGATCATTAGAAACAATCATAGCACTTTGGACACCGCGTTCATTCCCATCTGGAAACCATCACTCCCAATTGACAACCTCATAAAATGACACTTTACCACCCATCCACTTTCACCTTTCAAAATGACATCACCTCGAACACCGCACACACAAGACCTGTAACCCCAGTCACAACAATCCACTGACTCTTCAAAAGAAAAAAGGTGTATATCTGGCAGCACCACTCTCACTGGTTCTAAAGACTAAACCGTCCATAATCGTCCCAAGTGGCGCACAATCCCATCACCTACTTGACAACATACAACAACACTCACAATTCCAATCCCCTGAAAACAACAAGCTTCCACTACCAACCACTCATTTAAAAGTGATGCTAACTCGGCATGAAAACACACATCACTCAAGATACCCGACACCATAGTCAACACCCGCTATAAGAAAAATAAGAATCCTACGCGGCAACATTACAAGAACAATCCCTAAAAGGGACAACAGACACTACGCCAAACGGTCAACCACATAATCTACACTCTACGACAACTACAAAACAGTGGTCTCTCATTGGTATCTAACTGGACATTAAAGTCATACCTACAACTGACCTATCCGACTAAACAAAAGGGTATACAACTCCTACGCCTCTAACACTATCATCTCCCAACCAATCGCTTTGACTACCATCTAACACAAAGGAATGTCCACATCGATTTCATCTGAGTTGTGTGCCCGCAACTCGCCCAGTGTGGTAGCCTTCTGGTGCCACTTACACACACTCACGCACACCTATCCACAAAACAAAGAAATCAAATAGAATAGGCCACCAAGCCCAAGAGGTCACTCCTCATCCTGGCTCAACACAATCTGTGACCAAACACGTTATGGTCACCAAAAAACATCACATTAAGCTTCTGCCTTCCTCATTGGAAATCAAAACAAAAGTGCAACCTACCTATCTCGTCACCAATTCCAGGTCAACCTCTACTCTTACTCCCAAAATGGCAATTTAAGAGACAAATTCGCAACCTTAAACATTATTGAATGTCAAAATAAAAATTCAAATACAAACCTTGCTCAACCCGCATAACACCTGAACCTCACAAGTCATGCACTACATACCACCTCACGTCCTGTGACATCTAATCAACTTTGCTCACCTGAAAGGAACCCATGACTGACACACCATACCCTACTAATCCATCATCCCAAGAGTCCACTCACTATATTGAGAAAACACAACACAAACTCTCGCACGTGCAAGAAAATGAGGACTTCCGTCCTGGAAGACATCTAAGATTAAACCCTTTCACAGTTACCAGTCTCTAGGGAAAAGACTCCTAATGGAACAACATGTCCAGATCAAAACCAGACTCAAAAGATCGTGCTATTCACATCACCCCTGCTCACAACACTGATACCTTCCCCAGTCGTAAGTAACAACTCACAGAACTAATACAACATAAAAACGCGCCGGCTAAACAATTACATACTGAAAACATAACACCTACTCATGGATCATTTAAGTCAGTATTACACACATATAACATATAAGCATGCGTGGTACTTAGCACATAGTTATATTTATCATATAACATGTTTCATAACTTTAACACTCGTCATCTTAGCACATATAGCATACTAGTACAACAATAAACAACTTAGAAAATAAGTACATAATCGGGTAAGTATATCCATATATATGATAAGCAACTCAATTAATAGACACCTTGTCATTTTAGTATGCCTTAAAAATTTTAACCATGCTATTAATCTTATAAATATTGTCACTTATGATTAAATACTTAAGCATGCTTTAACTCGACAAGTAATTAACACATAAGCAGGTAAGTAAGTAAGCAATTAGGCATGCTTTTCAAAAAAATTTAAACACTTAACACATAAACATATAAACATACAATTCAACTTCCCCATGCAATACCAAGTAGGCCTCTACCCGTCGCCCTAATGGTATTCGAACCATTGCTCTGATACCAAATTTGTAACGACCCGAACCCATAAGTGCGAACCATTAGCTAGGTCCTTAACTGAACCCGAGATCAACTAGGGACAGCATCATTCTTTCCTACATCAATACATATTATACGAGTCATTCCGGGTTTATAAAAAAAATAAGTAATAATAAATAAATAAATAATATTAATAATAAAATGAGATTATAGCTACAATGTATGTCAAAACGGTCTACTAACCCATCGAACCCTGTGGAGGAGCGTTGTCCGCCACTTGTCATCCGTGTCTTGAAAAATATTAAATATATGGGGTGAGCAAATTGCTCAGTAGGTGGTGCCTAAGACACACTTCTTGTGACCCCGTGAATCCAAACAATGAATAGAAATAGGAAGCGGGGTCATACTATGTCGGGAAGGAACACAACATTAATTCCAATTCCAAAATAACAACGCCATGCCATGATATGTGATGCTATGAATGTCGCTCCTCATTTTCAAAATCTAAATCCATCACTTTTCAAATTGTTAATATAATCCATCCGTTGGTGACTCTGCGGCGACACGAGAGAATGGTTGGCTATTGTCCTTGACCGTTGGTACTTCCGCGGAGTCATTTGGGGCCCAAATAGCTCTACACTAGGGCAATCTCCCTAGTTCCCTCTAAGTTATATTAACACCACGGCCTTTTAGTAGCTCCGCGGCAACTGGGTTTTCATAAAAATCATTTTAATCAAAACTATGTCCCAAAATCTTCCCTTTTTTTTTTTTTTTTTTTTTTTTTTTTTTCAAAACACTTTCCCCTTTTCTTTCATGCCCAATGTTATGGATGCATGCAATGTATTTTTTTTCCAATAGTATGAAAATAGAGGAAATTTACACTTCACAATTTAACATGCTTCTTCATAGAAATTTCTAAGAAAATAATAAATACTATGGCATGGAAATTAACTTTTAGGCATGCTTCTCACATAATATCATCAACACATCTAAGTATAAACTTTCTATTACAACAATTATATCATTTTCAAGGCAAACAACTTAAATAAGGCATGCTTCACAAGAAATTCTAAAAAAAATTATACATACTTATATACATCATTTCTAGCAATTAGTAATACAATAGGCATATGAAATCAACACTTAAGCACGTTTTTCATACACATCAATTAATACATAAAATTAAAAACTTTATACACCACAATAAAATCATTCTAGGGTTAATTAACATCAATTAAACATTTTAGTAACAATTAACAAGAAATTGACTCACAAAGGAACAAGAAATTGGGAATTAAAAAACCATATCTTAATTTAAGCCAAAAACCCCCAAACGGGTCTCAAAACTGGAATCCCTAGAGTGCATTAAAACTAAAATTGCTTATATGGATATGAAGATCTCGCTGTACTCTTCGAATTATCGAAAATGATACTTAAAAATACCAAGAATTGAGAGAGAAATTAAAGTTTAAATGCTTGAAGTGAAAGAAAAAGAAAAATGGAAGCTTGAGAGGAAAAGAGAGATACCAGCGGGGAGAGAGAGAGAGAGAGTGAAGTGAGAAATGAGGCCAAAAATGTCTCTTTGACCAATTTTAACAAAGGTGTGGGCCCCACCATTTTCTTTTATCTTTTTCATTTTCTTTTCTCTATTAATTCTCACCACAAATCATACATATACACAAGTATATAAAATTCACATAAGGCACATTAAATAAAATGCATGGAATGCAAATGGACTCAATTAAAATCTTTGTACACGACAATTTTGGTAACGAGCCTCACACGGAACTATCTAGTCCGAAAAATTAAAAAAACTGCAAAAATGATCACCCTTACATTTTAAAGAGTTCTGAATTCAATAAAATGCACTAACCAACTTTCGGACAATTGTCATACTCTACAGACAAAAGACGAAAATACCTAAATGACGAAATTAAGAAGCATTACATTGACTTTGGCGGGTCCCCATGATTTCAATGACTGGATTTTCTGATCACATTTCATATACTCCATATTATTATTATTTTTTATTGTTGGCATTTTTTATTATTTTCATTTCTTTTCCCACGAGATTATAAATATGCAAAAAGTTTTGAGTATGACTACATTTGCTAGTCAATATTTGTATACTACACACATGACCGTTATTCGGTTAAATTACTCTTTGAAATCGCTTCAAAGAAACGCGGCTGCTAACGGGGAAAATCTAAAATATTAGAAAGCGCAAGGAAACAGAACCCTTTTCTCTTGCTTGTATAAAACCCTAAGAATAAGATTGATTGTCGTATTTTTTCTGCCCTCCAAATCCTCCGGCCTTGCTGGATTTTAATTTTCTCCAAACCCTAATCCTAATTCAACCATAGTTGTGTATAAGCCCTAATTTCAAGAAGCATTTGAAAATTGGTGAAACAGAAGAGGTAAAAGATGAAGAGAAAGCAAGAACTCGAGCTTCAATACAAGGTTGAACAGAAGAGTGCGTGTAAATTTGGAGATGGAGTGGCATGGTTAAGAGGTGCGATGATAGGGAAAGGAAGTTATGGGTCAGTTTATTTCGCGGATTCCAAGAAACCCAGATTGCGATATAGCTACTTGCCATCAGTTATTGCTGTGAAATCTGCTGAGGTCTCTGTTTCAGGTTCAATCCAGAAGGAGAGAGAGGTTTTGAGTAACATCCAATGGTGCCCTTATATTATTCGATGTTTTGGGGATGAGATCACGACCAGTGAGAATGGTGACATGGTGTATAATTTGTTGTTGGAGTATGGTTCTGGGGGAACCCTAGCTGGTTTGATTAAGAAATCGAGCGGTTGTGGATTGCCTGAATCCGATGTTAGGTGCTATACGAGGTCAATTCTTAGAGGGCTTAATCACATTCATCATTGTGGTTATGTTCACCGTGATATAAAGCCTGAGAACATAATACTTCTGCCTATTACTGTAGGTCCTGTTACCAAATTTAAGGTGAAGATTGGTGATTTTGGTTTGGCGAAGAGGGTGGAAAAGAACAAGAAGAGAAAGTTGGATCCTTATTTGAGAGGCACTCCTCTATATTTGTCGCCCGAAGCTGTGGTTGATAACATACAAGGGCCTCCCTCTGATATTTGGGCTCTTGGCTGTATTGTGCTTGAGATGCTAACAGGGAAGCCGCATTGGGATACGAAGGAAGATCAGGATGCCGAGAGCCTTCTACGTCAGATTGGTAAAGGGCGTACATTGCCTACAATTCCAAGTAATATATCAAAAGAGGGGAAGGACTTCTTGAAGGGTTGTTTTGTGAGGACGGCCAAGTTTAGATTGACAGCTGAATTGCTACTGAACCATCCATTTATAGAAGGATTAGTTGATGATGATGGAGAAGTTGAACAAGAGGACGACGTCTTTAATGTGGACTTGTCATTTACATTCTCTGATAATGATGATGAGTTCAGTTCTTACAGCTTCTCCGATGATTGTAGCTTCATATCTGAAGGGGACTCCTTCTATTCTTCGCTAGAAGAAGATGTAGAGGAGATGGATAATGAAGTGGTTTCTAGTTTTGCTGAAGAAGAAGCATCTGAAGTTCAAGAAAGGGTGGACATTACAAAGTCTAGCAATGCTCCTGAACTTGACCAGGTTTCATCAAACAAAATGCAGCAGTGTCCAATTGCTTTTGCCATTCCTGCTGGACTATAGCATTTATTGTGTCGGTACATGTAGTCATTCTTTACAAGTATATTTAGAGATCATTTTACAATAGCTTTCTTGTTATAGGAATTATGATTCATTTCAATAGAAAATAAACACAGCATTTAAGTATGTTATAATTGCATTTCTTCCATTTCAAAGGAACCAGGCAGTTAAAATTGTTATTGACATGGATATTATTATCTATTGTTACCTCCCAGGAACTCTTGAGATACCCAACACACATATGCAGACTCAAATATTTTTTTCAAGTCTGCCGGCCGATAATAACTCTCTCTCTCTCCCCCACCCCCCAAAGAAGAAATGATTGCATCGTACAAGTAATTAAATGTCTATCCAGTTCCATTATTAACTAGAACTTTGTCTAGAAAGTTTTAAGGATCTTCGGTCATGTATATTAAGATATTGCAATTTAACAATGATGTCTGGTTATGTGCTTGCCACGCCAGGAAAGTTTAGAATGATCATTGCTATATAAGAAAATCTGAAATTTATCCATCTCGAATTGTCTTGGCTAACTAGTTTTACCAAATTGGCTGAATACGATTGACGAAGATTGTATTTATTAAAGACACAATCATGGGTGGTTGGGACAGCTGACAGAGAAATGAGTCTTTGTTCATCAGATATTCTCTGCTAGAAACTATTCATGAAACCAATGTACACATGTCTGTTGATAAACTTATGACTCAGACCAATTGTCAGAAACTTAATCATCCGATTTTATTCACTTTCTGTGAATTCCCATTAGATTTTTGGCCCTCATCGCTTCAAAGTTTCAACGAGTATAAAACCTTCCAGATGTTTATTTGGTGGAGCACTATTAGAAATTTCATACTATAAAAAATATATAGAATTTTTTCTCTCTCAATGAATTCTTTGCGTTTGCATTCCATAGGAAATATGGTTATGTGTTGTCTCATATAATGAACTCCAAAGTAAAATGCAGGAAGCTTACATTATGAGTTCTTAGTGAAATGATCCAGTTGATTCACTGGAAAGACAGAGGAAAAGCATTATTTATTTATTTATTATTTTGGTCTTAAGATTTTTAAACAAGACCAGAAAGCTTCCACATCCAATAGTTGATTTGATCAAGCAAACAAGCTGCAGAGGGTTAATTGAATCTGATTTTAGGTGCTTTACATGGTCTATTGTTTGAGGGCTTAATCACATCATTTTGTGCAGTTATGTTCACTGCAATATAGAACCTGAGAACATTCTACTCTTGCCTGACAAGCTTGGTAATTGTGGGTTGTCAAGAAGGAAAAAGGGAAGCAAACAAGAGGTTTTATCATTACTTGAGAGGTATCTGCCATATCTTATTCCTGAAGCTGTAATTGCCAATATACAAGAGCCTCCCCCAATATTTGGGCTCTTGGCCTTGTTGTGCATGAGATGCCATTAGCAAAGCCTCTTTGGTATAATAAACAAGATTTGCTTTATGTCATGAATTGCCTATAGTCCCAATTAAGATACTGAAAGAGGGAAAGGATTTGAAAAGGGTTGTCTTCTAAAGAAGGTGCGTACAGACAGACTGCTGACAGGGTATTGAATCAATCATTAGAAGAAGTTTCAGATGCAGACAATGATAATGATTCTTGATAAGGTGAATCGAGCATCAAATCTGACAAGGACTTGTACCAGGATACTCCTCCCAGCATCCTTAGTAGGCAGAATCAACACTAGGTAATTGTCTTTTCTTTCTTTTCTTTAATTCAAATGTTTTCATTGTGATTCACTAGTGGCGCCATTAGTGGGGATGACATTATATGACTTCTTCGTTCCCTGCAAATCTCTGAATTAGCTTTTGTGAATTTGTCTCAATATTTATGTTCAAATCTAGTAGGCCTAATTTAGAAATAGTGATGAATAGTAATTATTATTATGGCGAGGGAAGTGTAATTTTTCTCTCATTCTATGCTAGTAAAAGAGCAGAGGCATTATAATCCAATCATATCTTAATGAATGGCGCCACTTTCTAATGGCGCTTTTTGGTTAAAACTTGAGGTTGTTTAATTCAGTTTCCTTAATGCAAAGGTAGAACTTCTCTAAATGTAATATATGCCTTTACATTATCATTTTAGGCATTAGAATTTGGATATCAAATATATCAATTTTGAAATTGTAATTTATGATTCTAATTAGTCATGAAAGATTCTGTTTCCAAAATTGCAAATACAAATAAAGAAGATGGTGTAGGACAGTGACAGCAAAAGTACTGTTTCTAACCCTACTTTAAATTGCATATTTGCTTGACATTTTTAAACTCCAACATAATATCATTTTTTTTTTTTTTGGATAAGTCCAACATGATATCATGTTCAAGATATCTAAAACATTAAAGATCATTTGTAAGATTCATACCTCTAGATTTTGAAGTTGGAAATAGTGGTCTTCTAGACATCGCTTTTATTTATTTATTTAAATCATGTTATTCTATTTAAATGCTAAATAATCAGAAGAAACAGAGAAAAAGAAAATTTGGGTTAGATCTTAAAAGATTTTAATTATTTATTCTCCTCACTAATTTTCTTGACTGTACATATGTTGCACTTATGTCACTTAAAGATTTTAAGTTTCTTTTCTCCTCACTAATTTTCTTGACTGTCGATAAGTTTCATCCATATGTGCTGAATCAGTTACAGTAGAAGGAAGCCATGCAGAGCAGCATTTAAAGACATTTCAAGGTGCCACAGAAAAGCAGGGAGGGACCACCGTCCAATTATTATCACAGAAGGCCATGCTTTATATGTGATAAGGAGGCTTCTCTGCACAAGATATCATGTGCTATTTTATTTTATTTATTTATTTATTCATTTTTTGCATTATATATAGGATCTCATTTAATATTGTGATTTGTGAGTGGTTTTGGATTTTTTGTTTGTTTTCTTTAATTTAAGATTTTGTAAATTTTACTTCGCATATAAAATTGCTTTCCAGAGTGGAGTTCAGGATTTATTGATTTTTGAATTTTGGGAAAGAGTATTCCGCTGGTGCTCTATGATCAAGTGTTAGTCTTACTTGATACATATGAAAATGGATGTTGCTAGCCCCCAAGGTTTTAAACCAAGTGAAACTTGATTTTGATGATGCAAGAAGAATTAACCAGTTTGAAAGAAATCAAGTCTGGAATTTAGTACCTAGACCCAAGGACCAATCTGTAAATGGTACCAAATGGGTATTTAGAAATAAGAAGGATGGATCAGGTGTTTTTGTTAGAAATAAGGCTAGATTAGTTGCCCAAGGTTTCAATCAGGAAGAAGGTATAGATTATGAGGAAACCTTTGCACCAGTAGCTAGATTATGTGCTGATTCTAATTGTAGTTATGTGTTTAATCTGTTCTTATGATAACTCGTTATGAGCATGATACATTTGAGCATGATTGTTTGTTGAAAGCTAGAGGTTTTTTAGTTCACAACACTAGAAATCATAACATTAGCTGTTCACACTACTGTGCACCTTTGGTAGTTCAGAAAACTGCCTTAATAGGAGAAGCCGTAGCCTGCACTTCATAGATTAGGAAAGTAAGCTGTAAGCAGTAATTTGCATCCCATATAGTTAAGCAAAGGAGTAGTACTTTGCATGACATGTGTTCGAGTCATTTTTCGTGTTAACCATAGGTATCAGTCTAGTTATATTGCACATACTTAGGGGGAGTGTTATCTCTTATTTTGCATTGGTGTTTCCATGCATATTCTGAACTTAACAGGGGGAGAATTAACAATGAGAAGCCAATACTCCCTCTGTCCCACAAAAAAGGTCTCTTTTTTGGGAATCATTACCCTTTTTACCCTTTTTCTCTCTAGAATAGCGATACGTGAGTTAGGGTTTCCTAGGGTTTCAGAGGAAGAAATCACGCCATGGAGGAGGGTCAACCCTCCTCTCCAGTGGGGAGAGTTCCACCCACGGTTGTGTCCTCTCCTATTAAGCCTTCTTGGAGTTCCTTATTGGTGAACTCCACATCTGCAAACTTCACCCCCTTGACGTATTACAGCGAAAGCCGTAATAAAGAAGTTATTGATATTGAAGATGAAGGTATAGCAGAAGAATTGGATTATTGGGAAAACTCTATTGTATGCTACGTGTTGGGAAGTAAACCTTACTTTCCATACTTCAAAGCTTTTGTTCAGAAACGTTGGAATAAGGATGCAGTGGTGGTATCCATTAAAGATGGATTTTTCCAGGTCCGGTTTCCTTCAGAGGAGGATCTATTACAGGTGTTATCGAGATTCCACACTTTTCAAGGTCGTTCTATTATAGTGAAAAAATGGCATAAGAGTATCCAACTTGAACGTGATATTCTATCTTCAGTGCCTATTTGGATGAAGGTGTATGATCTCCCTGTGCATGCTAGAAGTGGTATATCGGTGTCAAAGGTGGTATCCAATATTGCAAAACCTCTATATATGGATGCTATTACCCTTAGTCGTGAGCGAGGATTGTATGTTTGCGTTTTAGCAGAAATGGAGGTGGATGGAAATTTTCCCGAAACCATCCAAACTCGATTACATGGAGTGAAATTCAAAGTCCAAATTGAGTATGAATGGAAACCCCAAGTGTGTAGTCTATGTAAGAAAATGGAACACTCTGAAAATATGTGTCCATTGAATAAGATCAGAGTCACTAAATCGAAGGAACAGCGGGTGGTGAAGAAATCAGTGAAGGGAAAAGAAGTGTGTGTTGATCAGAATTTGAGTTTGATTATTACTGATAAAATTTCAGAAGAGTTGGAGGAGGGTTTTACTATTCCAAGAAAATCAAGTGGCAAGAAAAGAGTTTCTCCAGTGTCTCAAAATCCGATTATTGCTAAGAATGCATTTCAGGTGCTTGATGAAAGTGTTGAGAGTGAGGATTCTATAGTTCCTATGGATATTGTAGGGACTACAGAGTATTTAGTTTTAGAATTAGATAAGGTGAAGGCTACTGATGGTATTTCTGACATAAAGGAAGATGGCAATCAAGCTGAGGTTAATCAGCTAATGCTGGAAGCTGCTGAGAATGTTGTGCAAGAAGTCCAGGCTGATGGAAAAAAAAGTTGCTGACGCTGCTGCTGTGATAGTTCTTGTATCTCCTGAAGGGAGTGCTTCATCCAAGAATCAAGCTGAGG